GGATCGGAGCAAAGCGTTCGGCCCTCTACATACAAGAAGATCATTGGTGTATCCTCTTTACAGGTACAGTTTCCTTTTTTAATTTGTTATTGCAAACATTTCACGAACATAAACAAATTCTGACTTCATTTTGTTTAGAGTTTCTTGTTAAAGAAGGTTAATGGATGATTGGATTGCAACGGCAGTTGTGCGGAGGCATCTATTTCAAGGACAAATGGTGAAGAAAAATCAGGGAAAGCCAAAACCAATGTTGATATTATGTAGCCTTTAAGTTTTGTAAAGGCCAACTAAGCCTCAAAATGCCTTGAAATTAGTTGATGACTTTAGGAGATCAATGAGTGGAGCAACGATGGTAGTGTAGTGGCGTACAAAGCAGGGGTAAAAAAACCTATAAAACTAAGAATCTCTCGCTATGTTGTGAGTGAACATGGGGTGGGCTATGTAAGTTGTAGCCTTCATATATCATTCATGATTCAAGAAAATTAGTGCATACTATAAGAATTTTAGAATTTATGATTCTCACATACATTTATAATAGTAAAAGACTTACTTTGATCCATTAGAGGCCTAATAAAACTGTCTCTTTCTTTTTTCTTTCTGTTCTCACGTTCTTTCTTGATGGTTAATAGTGAGAGATTTTTTTAAAGGTGAGACAGAACCTTTATTTCCTTTCTTTTTCCAACTTCCATCAAGTTGGTTACCATTGGTTTTTTAAAGTTTAAAAACAATAACTCCCCATACCAACCAATAGGTCCCTTTATTTAATTAAATCACATTTAGGCCCATAATTATATTTCACATGAGTTACATTATTTAATTTACTTATTTATTTTTCTAACAGGCTAATGCTGAATAACTTTAATTTTCTCTGTGACACCCTTACTACCCCTAACACATATATCGTAATAATGTAATTAAATTAAGAAAAATAATCTTTCAAAGTTGGTAAAAAGGTTCACATAAAACTTTATAACTGTTCTTTATTCAATATCCAAAATAACTGGAAATAAAACTTGGAAGGTAAAATTTAAGAGTTTACAAATTGTTTTCAAAAGACAAGGTATAACTCAAAATACATATAAAAATTATATCCTAGAATTTTCTGCCCCGATGTCACAATATCAGAGCACACCCACAATTCAACTGTTGGCATCCTAGATGCCACTCAAAGCTGGATCTTCCTCACCTAAAACATCTACAAATTATACGGTGAGAAAAGAAAGCATCTATATATAAAACAATAAGGAAAACGCAACATATCGTCTCATTATGACTCTATACTTAATAAAATATTCATAAACATTTCAACATATCATAACTTGATCAATCATACATCATCATCACGTCATAATTCGCAATCCCACCAATCGTCACAAATCTTGCACTTCACATTATGCCAAAGTCACGTTACCCATTTAACAATCCAAGGCTGTTCTCACCCCTGATATAACATTGTGCCAAGGTCACGTTACCCCTAACCTAGGGCCGTACTCACCCCTGACATGTTAACCAAGGTCATGATACCCATGTAACAATCCTGGGCCGTGCTCACCCCTGATATAACACTATGCCAAGGTCATGTTACCCCTAACCCAGGACCGTGCTCACCCCTGACATGTTAAACAAGGTCACGATACCCATGTAACAATCCCGGGCCGTGCTCACCCCTGGTCATAGGTGTGAAGAACCACAATCACAGCACAATCCACACAATTCTTACAATTAACACTATGCCAAGGCCATGCCACAACTGACATAAGTGATACGTGTTAATTGTCTCACTCATCCCACACCATATCAGGGTCACACCCTCCCTGTAGCATCACTTACCCAAGGGCCGTGCCATCCCTGATCATTGATGTGAAGAACCACAATCACAATCATAATCACATCCATACAACATCTCATCTCATAGCTCAATTCCATATCACATACACAATTCCATATACACAACAAATAAGTCCAACAAAATAAGGGTTTACACACCCCTCAAGCAATTCACATCTAGATCATCAATTCTTAACAAGTAATATAACAATAACATTCATAAATTAATATAATAATCAATGGAATTACCAATTTAATATAATCTTAACATAAACGATAAAACCCCTAATTATTCCAAAACCTAGCTCACAAGCACTTTTCTACAATTTCGTTCTCTCTCCCAGATTATCATTCTTACAAATTATTAGCATATTTCTAATCCTCAATACATATACAGTCTAATGAGATCATCAATTTATCAAACAGTAATAATTATAAAATTATCCCTAATCCTACGGGATTCCTCCTCTACCCAATTTCCTCATGTAACTCTACACATAAATAATTCCCCTTTCCCCAGTACCTTGATAAGTAGTAGTTGAACCTACGCAAGATCTGGTTGGTCGCCCTCGTTGGGTTCCCCTCGGTCTAAAGCAGAGAGTAGAGGAAAAGAAGAGAGAGCATAAGAGGTGTGCCTTTTTGGGAGTGGCAGAGAGCTCAATTTATAGGCATCAGGCTTCGCAGGAACGGCCCGTTCCAAATCCGGAATGGCCTATTCTGGTATGCATTTATTACTCACAACAACCATATTTTGGAAATAGCCTGTTCCAAGCCCATTCCTATTTAGGGTTATAGGCAGTTTTAATAGTCCAGAACGGCCCGTTCCAACTTGAGAACGACCCGTTCTAGGCTACTAACTCACATTCATTTTGGTAGTTTGGAATGGCCCGTTCCAATTCCGGAACAGCCCGTTCCAACTAAATCACCCCTATAAAAATTACGAAAATACCCTCAATAAAATAAAATAAAAATGAAATAAAAAGTGGGGTGTTACAATTCTCCCCTCCTTTTAGAAATTTTGTCCCCGAAATTCACCTGAAAACAGAAATAAGTAGGCTCCTTGCATCTTGTTTTCTAATTCCCATACAACCTCACTACCTTACTCATGTACAACTCTAACAATCTCACCAAGGAATATCTATTATCAACGAGGATAAGGCAAGTAAACTTGGTGAGTCTAACCACTATAACCCAAAAAGAATCAAATTTCGTAATCATCTTAGGCAAGCCTACAACCAAGATTTATCTACACACCATCTCACTTCCAAAATGGGACGTCTAAAGGCTGCAAAAGTCCTAAAGACTTTTAGCATACTAAACACGAGTACACAAATTCCTCTACTCCTCTCTTCACCTTAGGCCACTACGATTCTGTTGCGCCACTCTGATATATCTTAGTAGCTCCTAAATGAATGTTAAGAGTACTCTTATATCTTTCCTCTAAGATCATCATCCTTAATTTGGGGTTACTAGGCACATAGGTCCTATCATTGAACCCCAAAACACCATCAACTTCCACTCGTAAAGGGTTACCCATACCCCTACCAATCCTCTCCACTTGGTTGACTAAGAAAGGATCTAACTCCAAGGCTTCTCTAATCTCATCTACTAGTCACTTTCGACATACTCAATTCAATGCTTCTAAGGGTGAGATCATACATCACGCTTAAGTCTCTAACTCTTTAATCAAATCCAACCCTTAAATCATCAAAGATGGTAGGTGAATGGTCATCCTACTCAAGGCATCTACCACAATATTAGATTTTCTTCTATGAACCTCTTTAAAGATCAAACACCTAAACATAAGTTCACTAGGTACACATACTCGATCTCAAAGTCATACCACTTCATCTATACCCAAGGAAAACTCTTATCTATTATCTTGTCCTATAACCTCATATCTTATCACCAAAATGAATCAACTAATTATGTTCCTCCAATTCTCCTTTAACAATCCACTAGTTACTCGAGTCATACTTAGTCTCACACTACTAAGGGTAACCTCATAAGTCAAGCTTGAATCCCTAATTTGAGCTAAAAGATCCATCTCTCTAATCATAAGGAAAGGAAAATATAAAGGTCTCATACTCAAAGCATCGGTCACCAAATTGGCTTTACCTGGATAACAACTAAGATTAAAATCCTAGTCCTTAAGAAATTTCAACTATCTCCCTTGATCAAAAGATATTCAAGGCTCCAACGATCACTAAATACTTCAAGCTTAGAATCATGTAGGTAGTGTCTTCAAATTTTACTGAAAAATATCATAACCGCTAACTCAAGGTCATGGGTAAGGTAATTCCTCTCATGAATTTTCAATTTCAAGAAACATAAGCTACTACCTTTCCTTCTTGTATCAACACTCCACCTAATCCCATCTTAGAAGCATCACTATATACCACAAAAGTCTTACTACAATCCGGTAGTATTAACACTAGTCAATCTTTCCTTAAAAGTTTGGAACCTACTCTCACATTTGCCATCCCTCACAAGGCAACTCCTTCCTAGTCAATCTAGTCAAAGGTAATGCTATCTTAGAAATTTACTCAATAAATCTCCTATAATAATAAGCTAATCCAAGAAAACTCATAATCTCACTAACTGACTTTGGTATCTCCCACTTAAGCACGACTGCTACCTTAAGTAGATCTACGTTATACCTCTACTAGAAATTATAGGGCCTAGAAAACTCACCTCATACAATCAAAAATCACACTTAGATAAATTAGCGTAAAGCTGTCTTGGATACATCTTCATCCTCATCTCCAATATGATGATATCACACCCTAAGGTCAATCTTACTAAACACATAAACACTCGCTAATTGATCCATAAGGTCATCTATCCTCATATCAACATACATGCATATCAAATCATATTAGAATTTCCAGGAGTCCTTCCGGCTGACTTTCCTTCGGTCTTCGAGAGTCTTTGAGTCTTATTTCCGACCCGGACAATTTTAGGGGTCTACAGTCATGGGGTACAATATGAAGCGCGTGTTGATTGATCAGGGAAGTTCCGCGGACATCTTATTCTGGGAAGCCTTTGAGGGGATGAAAATACCTAACAACCGACTCATTCCTTATGCAGGGACTCTAGTGGGTTTTGTAGGAGACTAGGTCATCGCAAGGGGATATGTCGATCTAGAGACGACCTTCGGCCAAGGAGTTCAGATGAAGACGGTGGTCGTTTGGTATTTGGTGGTCAATGCTCAGTCATCATACAACATACTGATCGGCAGACCGACCCTGAACAAGCTAGGAGCGGTGGTGTCCACTTCCCATCTGAAGGTAATGTATCCATTGCCAAACGGTGCTGTGGGGGTCCTTAGAGTGGATCAGGAGGTTGCTCGAAAATGCTACGGGGATAGTTTAAAGGCACGAAGGCGACTGTACACTGCGCAAGTAGAGCAAGAGGTCCACTCCATCGATTTAGATCCTAGGATAAGCCATTTTGATCGCCGACCAGCTCCCGTTGAGGACGTTAAAGAGGTGGCAATGGCGGAAGGAAAGAAAGTGAAGATTGGTACATCCTTGAGCCAGGAGGACGCCGCGAGATTGATAGAAGTATTGAAAGCGAACATGACGGCATTCGCATGGCACGCCAAAGACATTTCAGGAGTAGATCCCGACTTCATGTGCCATAAGCTGGCTGTAGACCCCGGTGCGAAGCCAGTGATTCAGAAGAGGAGGAAATTTGGCGAGGAGAAGCGAAAAGCCATCACCGAAGAGACCAACAAGTTACTGATGGCAGCACACATACGAGAAATACAATACCCGACCTGGCTTGCAAATGTCGTGATGGTACGTAAAAGTAGTGGAAAGTGGAGAATGTGCACAGATTTCACCGATTTAAATAAAGCATGCCCGAAGGATTCGTACCCTTTGCCAAATATAGACTGCCTAGTTGATGGCGCGTCGGGGTACGAACTGTTAAGTTTCATGGACGCGTATTCGGGTTATAATCAGATCTGAATGCACCCAGCAAACGAGGACAAAACCGCGTTCATCACCGATCAAGCTAACTACTGCTATAAGGTAATGCCTTTTGGTTTGAAGAATGCAGGTGCAACGTACCAGCGTTTGATGGACAAAGTGTTGGTGAACCAACTGGGTAGGAACGTGGAAGCTTATGTAATGACATGGTGGTGAAATTAATGAGTCTGAATCGGCATTTAGACGACCTGCAAGAACTATTTGAGACCATAGGCAAGTATCAGCTCAAGTTGAACCCCGAAAAATGTTCTTTCGGGGTCCAAGCGGGAAAGTTCCTTGGTTTCGTACTAACTCATCGGGGCATTGAGGCAAATCCTGAGAAGTGCTCGGCGATCATCAACATGAGAAGTCCAGCGACGGTGAAGGAGGTGCAGCAACTTGCGGGACGAATGGCATCTTTGTCGCGTTTCCTTTCAAAGGCGGCCGACAAGGCCCTCCCGCTTTTCCAATGCTTAAGGAAGAATGATCATTTTACTTGGACAACCGAGTGTGATGATGCTTTCCTGGAGCTGAAGAAGTCGCTCGCGTCGCCACGGATCTTGACGAAACCAAGGCCGAGTATCCCGTTGCTGGTTTACATATCGGCGTCCGATCGAGCTGTCAACGCAATTTTAGTCCAAGAGCAGGAAGGCTCTCAAGTTCCAGTGTATTTCATGAGTCGGGTCTTACAGGGAGTAGAAACGAGGTATTAGAAGATTGAGAAATTGGCCCTTGCAATACTAGTTGCAGCGCGGAAGTTGAGACACTATTTCCAGAGTTATGAGGTGGTAATCCGAACAGATCATCTGATTAGGCAAGTGTTACAGAAGCCCGACCTGGCAGGAAGGATGATGAAATGGTCTGTAGAGCTATCAGAATATTCCATCAAGTATGAGCCGAGAGGTGCAATCAAAGCTCAAATGCTAGCTGATTTTGTGATGGAGCTGACCTCACCCGCCGATGAGGGCGGTGTCGGAGAGACGCAGTGGATCCTATCAGTGGATGGTGCTTCGAACCTAGGAGGAAGTGGAGCTGGAATTGTCTTGGAAGGCCCGGGAGGAATACTACTAGAGCAGTCATTACGATTTAAGTTCCGAGCAAGCAACAACCAAGCCGAGTACGAGGCATTGTTAGCAGGGATGAGTTTAGCAAAGGAGATGGGGGCGACGAGCTTGTCAGCTAGAAGCGACTCCCAGTTGATCACCGGACAAGTGGCTGGAACCTTCCAAGCGAAGGATCCTAAATTGGCGAAGTACTTGGAAAAAGTTAAGCTCTTATCAGAAAATTTCCGAGAGTTTACACTTAACCATGTACCGCGAGAGCAGAATTCGAGAGCAGACCTCCTCTTCAAGTTAGCAAGCACAAAGAAGCCAGGAGCTACTCGGTCGGTCATCCAAGAAACCTTAGCTCAGCCAAGTATTAATGAGCCGCAGGAGAGTGTCCTTTTCATCCAAGAAGAGCTTGATTCATGGATGGGGCCCTATATTGCATACCTGACTCAGGGGGAGTTTCTAGAAGACAAAAAGGAAGTGTCGCTGATATAAAGAGAGTCAGTCAGGTTTGTGGTCATCAATGAAAGGTTGTATCGAAGAGGTTTCAATTTTCCTCTTTTGAGGTATTTGACAACGTCACAAGCACAAAGAGTGATGGATGAAGTGCATAGCGGAATGTGCGGAAGTCACATCGGAAGGTGAGCTCTGGTATATAAAGTTGCTCGGGCAGGGTACTTTTGGCCATCTCTGAGAAACGACTGCGTCAATTGGGTCCAAAAGTGTGATGGATTCCAAAGACACGCAACACTGCACCATTCCCCAGCTGAGCGCCTTCATTCAATCTTGTCTCCCTGGCCCTTTCACAAGTGGGGCATTGATATTCTCGGTCCATTTCCGATAGCGGTGAGACAGTTAAAGTTCTTGGTAGTGGCGGTAGACTACTTCAGCAAGTGGATTGAGGCGGAGCCAGTAGCAACCATTTCGGCGAAGAAGATAAAGACGTTCTTGTGGAAGAACGTGGTATGCAGATATGGTGTTCCCCAAGTTCTGGTATCGGATAACGGGACGCAATCCGCAAGTGGACGAGTTCGTGATTTCTGTCGGGAGATCGGTATCCGAATGACATTCACTTCCGTTGAACACCCTCAATCTAACGGCCAAGCGGAATCGGCCAATAAGATTATACTCTCGGGTCTGAAAAAGCGTGTCCAGGACTCAGGTGCTTCATGGGTGGAGGAGCTTCCCCGAGTGTTATGGTCGTACCACACAACTGTTCATTCGTCAACCCAAGATACTCCTTTCAATCTAGTGTACGGAACAGATGTCATGATCCCGATTGAAATTGCAGAACCCTCAGTGCGTACCACAGCCTTCTCTGAGGAAGAATCCGACCAGGGAAGATGAGTGGATTTGGACTTGATCACTGAAACAAAGGAGAGAGCAAGGATAAATCAAGTAGCAGCCCAGAGAAGAGCAGCTTTCAAGTACAACAAAAAAGTTGTCCCAAGAGATTTTTTTGTAGGAGACCTCGTTTTGAAGCGCGCCCAGCTAACTCAGATGAGGAACAAATTGTCACCTAAATGGGTCGGCCATTATAGAATTGATGACGTCGTCGGCAAAGGAGCTTACCGACTGAGAACTTTGGATGGAGGGATGATACCGAGAACTTGGAACGCTGCAAATTTGCATTTCTATTACAACTAATTTTTCTTTCCATATTTGTATTAGGTGCACTCTTTTCCTAACTCAGTATTTTTTCCCCGTAAAAATGAGAGGGGTTTTTTGCTGAGAAGGTTTTTAACGAGGCACCAAAATTCAATAATTTCTCAATTCAATGAATATCACTATTTCTTGTTTCCTCATATGATCTCTGACATTTTTATACAGAAATTACACAAAACTCGTGATTGATCGGTAAAAATACGACTGGGCGAGTATAAATAACTCGAAGACAAACTCGTGATTGATCGGTAAAAATCCGACTGGGCGAGTATAAATAACTTGAAGACAAACTTGCGATCGCCTATGAATGAGGTGGAATTTTTAAAACTCGATGCATGTTATTACTCTTTCCAGTCAGAATTTTGGCGATAAAGCACAACCGAGTCGGGGTAATGACGATTTCTCTATTTGAATTTTAATTTTCAACTTGAAAAAATTCTCATCCATTATTCGATTCGGAATTTGGATGACTTCTTAGGCCAATGCCTCATTTAGAAAATTTTTCTAGTATTACATGTAAATCGGAAGTTTACCGACTGGATGCATGGAGTATCAATTTTAACTTAGAAAATTTTCTAGTATGACTTATAAATCGGCAATTTACCGACTGGATCCGCGAAGTTTCATTTTTAACTTAGAAAATTTTCTAGTATGAAATGTAGATCGGAATTTTACCGACTAGATGCATGGAGTATCAATTTTAACTTAGAAAGTTTTCTAGTATGACATATAAATCGGCAATTTACCGACTGGATCCGCGAAGTTTCGTTTTTAACTTAGAAAATTTTCTAGTATGAAATGTAGATCGGAATTTTACCGATTGGATGCATGGAGTATCAATTTTAACTTAGAAAATTTTCTAGTATGACATGTAAATCGGAAATTTACCGACTGGATCCGTGGAGTATCAATTTTTAACTTAGAAAATTTTCTAGTGGGTCATTTAAATCGGAATTTTACCGACTGGTTTCGCAGTTTTGTCTTTAACTTAGAAATTTTTAAGATGTATTGTTGATCGGAATTTTACCGACTGGTTTCGCAGTTTCGTTTTTAATTAAGAAATTTTTCTAGTATCAAATGTAGATCGGAATTTTACCGACTGGATGCATGGAGTATCAGTTTTAACTTAGAAAATTTTCTAGTATGACATGTAAATCGGCAATTTACCGACTGGATCCGTGGAGTATCAATTTTTAACTTAGAAAATTTTCTAGTGGGTCATTTAAATCGGAATTTTACCGACTGGACTCGCAGTTTTCGTCTTTAACTTAGAAATTTTTAAGATGTATTGCTGATCGGAATTTTACCGACTGCTTTCGCAGTTTCGTTTTTAACTACGAAATTTTTCTAGTATGTCATGTAAATCGGAATTTTACCGATTGGTTTCGCGAAGTTTCATTTTTACCGACTGTATTCGCAAAGTTTCATTTTTTAACTTAGAATTTTTTTAGCTTTGATACACGAATCGGAATTAAACCGATTAAGCTCACAACAATTCACTTAGAAATATTTCATACTAGCTACATGAGGCGGAATTTGACCGAGTATCTGCAAAGATTCTTTGTACTTGGAAAAATTTTCCACTCTCTTGAAGTCGGAATTTGGGCGAGTAGATTTTTTTTTTTTTACTTAACAAAATTCCTCATTTAGGCGACTTAGCTTTGGAAAACGCTCATTTTTAACTTAGAAAATTTGTCTCAGTTCTTTTGATCAATTCAAAAGCTCAAAAATAAACAATGCAACAAGGAACATAAGCAAGACTTAGGGAAACCAAATTTTAGAAGATACCAAGGTCAAAAGGTTACACGTTTACACCTAGAAAATTAAGACTCGAACACAAAACATAGGTAGAAACTTATACAAAAGCAAGAAGGTTGCAAAGTAAACTCAGTCGTCCTCCGGGGGGTCTACAAGCTGCCCATCTATGACTTCTTTGAAATATCCAATGCCCTCGAGGTCGATATCAGCATGGAGAAATTTTACTTGGCTCGTGGCTGCATCGAAACCTTGAGTGAATTTCTTCAAAGAATCCATCTTGACCGCTTGTAGATCGCTTTGCAGCTTTTCCACTTCAATCTTCACTATGGACAAATCACTCTCGAAGACGTTCGCAGCATCAGCCGACTTATCTCGTGCCAGGCGTGCCTCATCCAATTCTTTCTCCATCGCCATCTTCTCGGCGGCCCAGCTCTCTCTCTCGGCATCAAAAGTCCGACGCCCTTCCAGAAGTCTATCCCTCTCGGAGGTCACCCATTTCAAGTCCCCTTTCACTTTGCTCAATTCTCCCTCCAAAGAGTTGAGCTTCTTTCCTTGAAGCTTGAGGTCCCTAGCCATCTCACGAACTTTGTCTTCATTAATCAAGGAAAGGGCAGAAAGCCGGTTCGTTAAGGACTCAACTCCCTTGGCAATGGAAAAGGCGCTCATCTTTTCCAAGTCATCCTTATCTCCAGCCAGCAGGTCGATCTCACGAATATGGGTGGAATGATTAAATTTTTCATCCCAGAAAGATAAAGTCTTACCATGATCGGCCCCAAGATCCACAGGGTCCCAGTTATCCCCAAGGCACATGCTCAAAGTCCGTTCGGTGGATTGCACTTCAGCCTCGCCCTTATCTCCCTCGGCAGCTACTAGTGTTTCCAGGTTCACCACTGAGATAGGCTTGTTGGCTTCTCGATGACGCTTGTGGGATGTCTTGGCCACATTCTTGATCAAGGGAGTCGGCCTATTGGCAGCAACGACCTTCTCGGTCGTTGACTCCTCCAACCCGGCGACCTGGGAAGCCTTCTGTTGCTTCCACAACTTTGCCATCTCCTGATTGTTTAGACTCGCCATCCTCTCTGCAAAATGCATCCACAAGTTATACAAAGGAGCAAAAGTTAAATCATAATAGTATAAGGCGTTCAAACAACATAATACCTATGTATATTTTCAATTCTTGAGGCCTATTTTCTAGATCTAGGAGTTTGGCAGTGTTGAAAATAGTTTTAAGATCTTCGAGTTTTTTAACGTTCTCTCGTTCTCTCCCGGAGAGTGACTCGAGATCTAGTTTGCCATAGGATGCTGTGTGCTTGTTCCAAAAAAGAGGATACCCCGTAAATATATCCTCGTGTCCTGGACGGCATCGGACGCGGAAAAAAGACTTTTTGAAGTCCTTATAAGACGATTGAAATAAGGTTAACAATCCCCAACCCGACTAACCACTCACGGACATCCAACTACTACGTTTAGAAGACCGACCTTCAAAAAAGTAAAAGAATCCATTGGTGGTCGGAGTTATACCGAGCCCAAGACACAATACCTCGAAGCCCCTGACAAAGGCCCAGCAGTTTGGGTGGAACTAGGTCGGGGCAACATTCAAACTCTGGAGAACTCCTTTTTCACACTCAGTAAGGGGCCACCTAACCCTAAGTTTGGAAATGAGAGTGGCGTAACAAAAAGTAAAACGCTCAGAAGTCGCACTCATGCACACAGGCTCCCTATCTACACAAGGTTCACACACTAAGACGTCCTCGGGGCCTCGTGACACCACATGTTCTCTGTTAAAACTCTCCATTATAGGCCAGGAATTTATGGAGGACTCACACCTCAATACATCATCCTTCACCCACTCATAAATATCCCTATAATTTACGTACTCCATGCTTTAAAAAGACCCAAATTTCTTAAACAACCAGAAAACTTAGACACAAACGCGATAAAATAGGTAGGCGTACCTAAAGGCTCACAAACACCTCTTCCCCACTCAAAGCTGCCACAAGAACCACCGTGAACCACCGTGAGAAGACGTAGAAAAAGGAGAAAACTCGCCGGAGATGAAGAACGGAAAAGAA